TTCTGAAGCATACAACTTTGCCAAAAGTAGGAAACTTGATCAATGCATCTTTTATATAGTGCATTTTATAAATGTGGCAAGTCTTGGATCTATAGCTGCAAATGTTGATAGGTACTAAGAGTGTTGGCATTCTCAAATCACATCCACCAGTGAACATCTACCAGTGAATTTGTTACATTTATTTATGTATTCATTGTATTTATATTTTGCCTTTTCCTAAAGGGTTCTCCATTTATGATCCATTCTATCCTTAGGACAAATCTGTGAAATCAGTTATGCTGAGCAAAGAAGGCACAGGGTCAGTCTGTCAGTAATAAAAGCTGAATTGTTAATGTTAAGTGTCGCAGAATCTCTGCTTTTGTGTTCAGTTATAGTTATGTAAAAAGCCAAGATGATATGTTGCTGCTTCTATTTAATATGCAAATGTAAGCTGAAGATTGAATCTGAATTGCAAATTTTTAATTTATGCTAATAGGTATTTACATTTAAATCTTGGATTAAGGTAAGTTTCCATCCCATTATATATCCTGAGATCCTATTAGTATTAATAGAAGTCATGCAGACGTAGTGGGTTGACAACACAGCTGTTTTAAATGGACAGGTTCTTTCCATTTATGTGGGATTTTGGTGACAAGACAAATCACTAGTGATTTCATGCATCAAATGGCTATGTGCCAAATCATTAGTATGTTAATAATCTTCCTGTGTTATCTGGTTGCAGTCTGCAGTTCCTGTTTTTACAAGAAAGAGAGTGCTGAATTTGCATTACCTTAGTGTTTTGGGAGATGTGCTTATGGCTTCTGCAAATCCATATTAAAGAATTTTCCCCCCTGCAAATCAACATTAAAGCACTGGACTCCACCAATAAAGAACTAATTAATATACTGCATTAAGTGTGGTTTGTTGAGCAAGCCATTATACCTAAGTTCACATATACCTAAACCATGTATTGTGTTTTGCAATTCATCAAGTTAATTCCTTATATGAAGACAAAGTGTTTGATTTGGTATAAATCCAGTTTATATTTTGAGAACTATGGCTTATAGCTGAATGTTGTATTGATCTAGCCATTGTGTTGATTTTCTTCATTCTGTTATTTTCAACTCATTTCTGTAACCCAGTGGTTCCCAACCTGTGGTCTTTGGACCTCTGGGTGTGGGCACAAATGTCACCAGAGGGAGTCTGCAAAGAGTTGAAGAAATGTTATGATTTAAATCTTAAGTCTTGGGCGGGGGGGGGGGGGTCCATGGCCATGGTCTGTGACCACAAAAAATATTTAAAGGGGAGGGTGGGTCTGTAATGAAGAAAAGGTTGAGAACTACTGCTCTAACCTATAAAGAATTCTGAAAGTTGTTTGCCTTCTACATTATCAGTTATTGAGTCAGTTTTGTATGACTGTGCGATTTTATAACAATTCCTATACCTTTTATCCAATCTTTTACAAAGAGGTTAAAGAGCATTGGGTCCATGTCTGAACCTTGTGGTAGTTAACCTCTCTCCAATTTGACGAGGAACTGTTAATGCTCAAAGTGTCTCCAAACATTTAGTTGAAATCAAAATATATCTGTCCACAAGATTCCCATGGTCTACTGAGGAAACTATATTATCTATCTATCCTATCTATCTATCCTATCTATCTATCTATCTATCTATCTATCTATCTATCTATCTATCTA